GCATATTTCTCGAGACAGTCCCCAAAAAACAAAAATACCAAACCCACGGGCCACGAAATGAGCATATTTCTCGAGACAGTCCCAAAAAAAAAAACGAAACACCCAAAGACTCCGGAACCTCTCCGAAACCAGAAATGAGCATATTTCTCGAGACAGTCCCAAAAAAAACAAAATACCAAAGCCCATAAGCCAGAAATGAGCATATTCTTCGAGAAAGTCCCAAAAAACCCAAAAACACCAAAGATTCTGAGCTATTCCAGAGGCCCTTTCTCGAGACAGTCCCAAAAAACCCAAAAATAGCAAAACCCACAGGCCACGAAATGAGCATATTTCTCGAGACAGTCCCAAAAAATACAAAACGAAGAGTTTCAGAGCTATTCCAGAGCATCGAGACAGTCCCGAAAAAACCCAAGATTCCAAGCCATTGGAGCTGTGAGAACTGGCCTTTAGAATAGCTCTGAATCTTTTGTTTTTTTGGTTCTTTTGGGACTGTCTCGATGAATATGCTCATTTATAGGCCTATGGGCTTTGGTATTTTTGTTTTTTTTGGGACTGTCTCGAGAAATGGCCTTTGGGATAGCTCTGAATCTTTGGCTTTTTTTTTTGGGACTGTCTCGAGAAACATGCTCATTTCGTGGCCTGTGGGTTTGGTATTTTTGTGTTTGTTGGGACTGTCTCGAAGAATATGCTTATTTCTGGCTGATGGGCTTTGGTATCTTTTTTGGGGACTGTCTCGAGAAATATATTCATTTCGTGGGTATGGGTTTTGGTATTTTTGTTTTTTGGGACTGTCTCGAGAGATATGCTAATTTTGACATGACGAGACACTTTCTCCGAAAGAATGCACATGTACATAAACATTACTCATATCGAATCACATGCACCGTATCCGACTGTATTTGGGCCATGAAGGGCAAATCTTTAGCTATACCCAGAAAGAGAAAGACTGTAGACACACCTTGTAGACACCAACTCAGTTCATTCCCCAGCGCACTGCAAACATGTGTGTCCGTTCATGTCTCAGCTCCTACCAGATCAATCTTCATGATTCAATTATGGCGGATACTGAAAACCGACTTGTTCAATCGATGTGTAGTCCAAGCTTCATATCGTAGTCAGAACCAATTTTGAACTAGATACTCTTTAGTACTACTTCAAAGATGTGTTGAGCATCTACTGTAAACTTTGTCAATTACTCTTTGGTGTCTCAAAAAGTATTTCTTCAGTTCTTTAATTAATACTTTAGTATAGCTATGTCTACTTCCCACTGTACAGTGTACTCGTTTAACAAGTGATTGTAGCGTAAACTTAATCAACATTTCATTTCTATAGGCTTAAGACCTTCCTCACAATAAACGAATCTTCATGAACGTCCGATCACAAAGAACATGCTGACATGCTAATGCAATATCGCTGACTTTTAACATAAACACGCAACTCAAGTTAACTTGTTTTGACTACATATTTAGCCAAATGTCTAAGTCATTCCATGAATGGTTCACTAGTATGTACATGATGCTCGAACACGCACACACTATTTATGTTATGCACATGGCATTTTACGACTAAGTGACTGACGAACCCTTGTGGTGATGGTAGTCGTAGTAGTACTAGTAGTAGTGACTGGTAGTTGTTGTAGTTGTAGTAGTAGTAGTAGTAGTAGTAGTAGTAGTAGCAGTAGCAGTAGTAGTAGTAGTAGTAGTAGTAGTAGTAGTCGTCGTCGTGGCGGTGGCGGTGGCGGTGGCGGTGGTGGTGGTGGTGGTGGCGGTATTAGTCTTGAGTAGTAGAGTGCGTCAGGACGCGATGGGTCCATGCCCCCCCTTTCAAGACCCATGATGCATCTGATTGCAGCCGCAGGCACTCGTAGAGCTCCCTCGCCTGTCGGGTGTTCGCGAATGGGACGCATATACATTTCTCTAAATTGGGGTCCCGTTTTTGGTCCCCAATATAGTACGACACCTTTATAAAAGGACCCTAAAAGGGACTGTAATTTAGAGAACTACCCATGTGGCATACCACCGCCTCATGCCTCTTCACCGGACTCTCCAACTGTCTGAACGCTTGACTGGCTACAGTCGCTCGGATTCGAGCCTAGAATCCCAGCTTGAGCTGCCAGTCTTAAGCCCCGGAAAGAACAGTTTAGGTATGTTCTTTTTGTCACCCCTTGTCCTCTCGAACTGTTCATACAGTTTAGGTCTAAGGCTGAGACATCCAGCTTCAGCGGTGTGTTTTTAGATTGTACTATACTATACTATACTAATACCATACTATACACTATACTATACGCTGAGGAACCATAGAGCCGCGCTGCGCTGTTTACTGTGCCTCCTCGCATTTCATAATTTCAACTGCTGCTCTGTTCGGCTTCAGGTTGTTGAACAAACCGATGCTCTGCTCCGGCTCTGCATCCCATCGAAGCTCACCACAAGATCACCCGGGAACACTGCCTGTGTAGGATTGTCTGCCGTCACAATGACATGTGCTTTCGGCCAGACCCCCTGCACCACCTGCGACGTTGCTGGCTTAGGAAACAGGAGCAAAATAGGATTAGATGCTCATAGAGCAACCCCCGCTAACCCCCAAGCCATAGTAGTTAGCGATATTTCGGGGCTTCAGCAACACATGTCTGCTTTTTCAGGCATCGAAACTCACTGCTCATTGCTTTTCTTGCTCAGCGGAGGGTTGAGGACGCTCAAAATTTTCAAACTGATCGCGGACTGATGTTAGGATGCCCAAACTTGACCAAGCATGGCCAAGGAGCTCAGGGGGGGTGGATGGACCCTAAACCCTAAACCCGTAATTCCCTGCTTAAGGTGAGAACGGCATCGTCGGCAAATTGGGAATTGTGAGACATTTCTGGTGGGACTCTTCTAGCTATGATTTTGAGGGCCTGTTTCCGCACCGTCTCTGCTGCAGAGAGCCTCAATGAGTCAGGTAGTTTGCAATCCCTATAGCACTCACCTGCCATGATGAATTACTTGATTTTTTCTCAACTGACCGCAGTTCACTCGCTTATCTGCAGTCTTCGGGTTTAGGGTAGGGTGCAGCGCTATTTGTGAGCCAAAAAACCGTTAAACGTGAATCTGTGCTTGAAGCTTCCTCTGCAGAAGCGCCGCGCCGATGGGGCCGTGGAGCTCAAGTATACTCAAGACTGCTGAGGACTGCACTATTACAGGCCGGAATATTTAGACTGAGGGTATGCATGGGATCCTTATGCTTCAGAACTTAAAGATGTCGTCTATCAGAGTCTATCAAGGTTTCACCGTCAGCATCAGGGGCAGCCCTCAAGTTAGATTCTACAGAACACTGAAACTCGCAAAAATCTGCGTTGAGTCAAGCAATTAACTAAACCTGGACCTGTGACGTGTCTTTCTCAGAGCTATCTTACGCCCAACCTAAACCCTCGACCATGAACCCCAGGCTTGGAACATAAACTTGGAGCCTGCATCCTGCTAGACACAAAGAAGCAACCTGGGGGTGCAGAAACCACGAGCCGCTAAATTTCAAGTTTGTTGATAGGATCTCCTCTTTGCCAATTCTATCAAATAAGTGTCTCCGAGAGCTTTAGGAGTGCGAGCCTGGAGGATGCGCATGTTGGTGGTGCCTGGGCTGTGCGATTACATTGAGCCGGACAGTCTGCTGTAACGCTGTGCGGATCGTCACTTTGAGGGAATACCATGATTGCTTGCAGAAACCGTTGTCTCCCAGATGTTGCAGAGCACGGGCTTCAAGCGCCAAACAAACGAGGCAGAACCACGATCAGTGCATGTTCTACGGGCTTTAGTCTCAGGAAGCTGATGGTGCAATGGCGTTCTGAGGATATCAGAAAAGTCATCCGTCCGTCATAGCGGAGAGCTACTGATGCCGACTTGCTGTCCAAATCAAGCATGATAACTCCGGCAGAAGAGAACGATGGTTTCGTGCCATCATGTGCAAACCGTAACAGGCAAAAGCCCGGTCTGGAAACATGCCCGAGATGGGGCCAAAGAGCGATGCAGATTCGGGGACATGCCCATGCCGACTACCAACCTTGCAGCTGAAAGGCCCTGAAGCATCGTGTCCGGTGTCGTAGAGATGATGATCTGCGCAGTTCCGACAAAGCAAAATGCACAAGGAAGTGGTCAAGACGGTCTGCAGCAAGAATCTCGCTCACACAAGTAGCAGCGCCCGGCCCATCGTCAAGAATAGCTCCGTGAAGCACGAACGTCACAAACAATCGAGGCCACATCATCGCATCAAGCAGCGCCTTTGGCTCTCCATGGAAGCAGTGCTCCAGGACATCAGCGCTTGAGAAGTCACCTGGCAGCCACGGGGAGTGGACTCGGTTGTGTATTTTTGGGGAACTTGGATTTGGGACCGCCTTTCAAGTAGTTATGACAATTGACGATGGGTAGCAGGCAACAGCGACCGATCAACACATTGCTCGTCGAACTGCCAAGGGGCCATAGGTAAACTTAACTCCTCGTCTCAGCAGCGGCTCCTGACAGCAGAAGACACACTACTGCGACATGCCCAGAGACTGCACACTACTTAACTAAGGAATATTGGGGTTCCTATTATAATTTCAGGTTTTAAGCCTTGCGTCGGCAAAGATCACTAGGTTCCTAGGCGCTAGTTTGAGGAATGTCGGCCGGGAGTACTATAGGCGGATTAATCAGTAGAGCGGCTGGCGTATTATGGATATTCTTTGAAATTCTAGTATAACTACATTCAAGACTGTAAGGTATTCATATGTCTACTCTTTTTAGGCTACATTCGCGGGCGGGCTCTGAACAAGCATCAGAAAGAACATTGGGTCTGAGAATGGCTGCGAATGGGGCGGCATGCGTCCTTGATGGCCTGGTTGAACTCCACCACCTGGCCCGAAGTGCGACTCTGCAAAACAGATTCTATGCATTTAGGCCGCATGATACTATCTGCTTTGAATGACTTTCCGCTCCATTCTATTCCTTTCTATTTACCACAAGAGTGTGGTGCACAGTGCTGGGTTCTAACGTTCATTATAGTGTAGCTGCAAGGCAGCGGCGACAGGAGGCTCCATGCACACTGTGTATGTCTCATTGTTTAGGGTTTAGGGTGCGGTCGAGTCCCTCAGAAAGCCACGTCCATTGTCAATTCGAAATGCTTGAATCCCGCCAGTACCCAGAACATGTTGGTCATGCTCGTGAACCTGGCAGTCTATGGGGAGAAGCATTCCTGTTTCGAGTAGTACTGATTCGGCTGTGTCTGGGAGTTCCTGGAGAAGCTCACCCGGCTATAGCCTGGCTATACCGGCCTGGTATTTGAAATTCCCAATATTCAATCCTGCTTATGATCACATCCCACCGCCGCAGGTTGCTTGAGACAAGTTGAAGGCGTGGGACCCGATAGACCCCCACGGTTCAACGTCGACCTGCTGAGTCAAGAACCGATGCGCACAAGCAATGGGTTCTTGTGGCGAGGAAAGTGGGTTTAGGGTTGCGGCCTTACCCTAAAACCTAAACCCCTAATACCTAATTGATGGGTTTCCAGCCCTCAGCCTGAACCCGGTAGGTTTGGGGCTTAACCTCAGGGGAACCCAGCCTGCAGCTTCTTGAGAAGCTGGGGGTTGTGGTGTTCAAACTCTGCCACCAACATGGAGGCAATGCGGTGGAAGCCTGACATGAACAGACCCTACAGCTGATTACTATCCATCGCATATGCGCATGTAGACATGTATAGATACACTGGAACATGCCTATATTTCTCAAAACGGAAGCTGTATCCGAAACGAGCCCTTCATAGCCCTTCCAATAGTCAATGCCCTGGGTGTTCGTTACAATGTTTTAAACGTTGACCCTTTTCTGTGTCTATGTTCATGTGTGTGTGTATGTGTATGTGTCCGCGTGTACGTATGTTTGTATGTACGTATGTATGCATGCATGTACGTATGT